CTCTTAAGTTCGTAGCGACTCCCTCTGTCACTGTCACGGGAAAGCTATTTTGAGGCTCCATGTTGAACTCGGTAGACTTCCCAGGCAGCAAGCTTTAAAAAAAAAAAAAAAAAAAAAGGTTCAGCTGACACGAATGTTTCCTCCCCCGCGCCTGCACTTGGGAGTTCTAGCGATTGTTCCAGACACTGGGTTGATAAAGCTGTTCCTAGTATTTGGCTTCGGGGGAACTCCAACTGAGAGTTAGGACTGTCTTGAGTGAACAGAAAGTACCTACAAGTTTTAGCAGCTTGAGCCTGTATTATGTGCGTGTTTTCTCTGGTTTCTCGGGAGAGTAATTTACTAAATGTCTTACTGCACACAGCCATAGAAACAAGAAAAACTTTCTGAGTGTTGGCCTTGAGAATCTGGCCACAGGCGTTTTATCCATTCACTTGTGATTACTGGGGAAGGGAGAAGGGGCTTTTCTGATCTGAAGCCTGGGGGTGGGGTGAGGACGTTGTGGCCCCTTTCGTGACTGCAGGAAGGACTGTGTCTCAGGCACTTGTTGCCCATGTGACGATTAGAGTTTCAACCTGCACGCGCTGCATACAGCACTGTTTCAGAATTGTAACTTGAGGGCTTTTCTGTGACAGATTTGAATACCCGATAAATTTGTGGCCACTTCGATTTTGAAAGAAGTTGTTCAAATCTTTGCCTCTTGGAGGAGAATAAATAGTGCCTAGAAAGGGGAATGCCCCTCAGATTTGTGTTCAAGAATAAGGCATAGCAGTTGACTCTTTTGGCCAGCACTTCTTGGCCATTGCAACACTTTTGCAGGTCTTTCAATTTTAGGAATAGATTTTAAAGACCTGGTAAATAGTTCTTGTTTCTAAGCTAATAGCAAATTAGAGGTGATTTCTCAGTGTTTTGTATTAACATAGTTTTACTTTATGTGAGTTACAAGTCTAACTATGAACGAATTTCCGTTGACTTAAAGTTGACCATTTCAAGATATAACATTGATTTCTTTAGCTTGGTGGGTTTCTCTTCCTAGCATCTGTAGATCTTACAGAAACAAATTTTTGTGCATCACGCTACTCTCCCTCCCACAAGATATTTAGCAATATACTCTTTAGACTAATATATACACCCTTGCTAATAGGGGAATGTAAGCTATGACTTCTTGTAAGGCTGTTTTCAATATTCATTTTGCAGTCAAAACAAGTTGGCAGTGGATACATCCTACAATATTTAATTAACGCAGTGCTTACTCGGTTCACACAGAGGGAATTAGTCATGAAACTCTTAACCTACTAAGGAACCATGAACTTTGTACTGTCTCTTCTATTAATTCACGTAGAAAGGCGTATGAATTCTAAATGTTAGAATAGATAAGAGGCTGTAACAAATCTTTATTTGCAAGTAAGAATATCTGCTACTCTATTTTAGCTTATGAAAAGCCAAGCCTGTGTCTGTAGCATCTCATGAAGTGGATGCCTGAGGCACCATGTAAGGTTAAAAAAAAAACACCCCTAATAGAACATAATATTTTCTACTTGGTTGCCAGGTCATCTTCTATTCACTTCTGTAGCTGACTCTAAGCACTGTTTTTTTCATCGGTGTTAATTAAAACAGTTACTCATTGTAGTTAGGAAAATGATTTTCATTTAAGTCATCACAATCCCTAAAAGCAAAGGGAAAAATTGTTTTAACTTGCCAAAGAGAAAGAGTAAACCTAAAAATACTGAATGGCACTCAAAATACTGCTTTAGCTTAATTTTCCCTTTGCAGTATAGTTACATGGGACTATATCCTGTAAACATAGTGACTCCCTAAAAAAGTTTATTTGAAAGGTGTAAAGCTTTTGTATTACTTCTAAAAAGCTTGAAAAGTAGTGGCAATTAGATTTTTAAGACATGCTCCCTTTCTTGTCTTAACACTGCATTCCTGCAGTGGAATTCCTTTTAAGGAATTGTGACTGAATGGACAGATTTTTTTTTTTAGTAACATATTTGCTATGAAAGTTCTCTTTCAACCTAAAGACCTTAAAGTTTTTTTAACTGGACAGCAAGAGTGCAGTATATCAACTATCCAATAAACTAAAATTTAACTGGACATTTGGGCAGAAAAAGTAGACTTGGCTCAGTGACTTTTGCTTTTGTCTTCTGGCTATCACTTTGATATATGCTGTATGACCAAACAAACCTTAATTTCTCAGAAGTGATTTTACTTTTAAAAAATGAATAAAGTTTCAAAAAGTAACTATACCTGGAATTATCAAAGGTATGTAAAATGTGTTCTCTCATACTTAATCTACTCTTGGGAGTGGGAATTAGAAAGCCTTTGATATCGTGTATCAAAATGTAGCTCATGTTGGATAACCAGCATCATCTATAAGAAATCATAAAAAGTTATAAAGCTGAGCTAATAATTCTACTTCTAAGAAATTTACCTAAAGTAATAATTAAACACAAAAATGTATATCTGTGTGTGTGTGTGTGTTTAGTCGCTAAGTCGTGTCCAACTCTTGAGACCCCCTGGACTAGAGCCTGCCAGGCTCCTCTGTTCATGGGGTTCTCCAGGGAAGAATACTGGAGTGGGTTGCCATTTCCTTCTCCAACAAAAATGTGTATGGGGAAACAAAAAACAAAGGATTTAAACCCTAGTATAGCATCACGGTGTCATCTGTCCTCAGATTTGGAGGGTGTAACGGGGGCCTTTTACCCCCTCCTGGAGCACAGGTGTAAAGACTAATTCTGTTCTTTTCCATTATCTTGCCATTCCTTTCTTCTCATCTATTTGCACAGCCTTCCCTGGGAATCTGCATTACCTATAGCAAGGCTTCTTGAACTATTTTTAACTCTTTGAAAATATTATATCGAAACTAAAAAAATGAAACAAAGCACCAGCCTTTCTTTACTGATTTTTTGGAATTCTGTCAACCCAACCTAATAACACTGGACAGCTCATGTTTAATAGAAGTTGTTGTCAGCATCTTAGTCTAGTGTCATAATAATTGGAAAGAGTTTTAATACAGCTGATAGACAAAGTTGTCAAAATATAGACAGCTATAGGCTAGTACAAATTGCACAGGCTCTGGGGTCAGGTAGTCTTGAGTGCTGATCGTAACTCTGTTTCTTCTTAGTTGGTTAATCCTTGGCAAGTTACTTAGCCTTTTAAAGATTCAGAGTTTTCCCTTTGACAGGGGGGAAGGGGGAACAATGAAACTATTAAATAAAATAACCCTTATGGAGCTACAGAGGATAACTCATTTTACTTCCAAGCACAGTTCTAAGTGTTTTGCACATATTAATACACTTAATGGAATTCTGAGGTGGATTCTTTTGTTATCCCCATTTACAGATGAGGAATCTAAAGCACCAAAAGGTTGTGTGATTTGCCCAGGGCGTACACCAAATAATGGAGACAGAAGTTAAACTCACATCATCCAGTTCTAGCACCTAAGCTCTTCACCACTTCATGGGAGTACCTCTCCAGCCAGAATAGTGCCTCATCCTTTGTAGGTGCTCATCAAATGGTTCTCAGGATTTCTGAGAAGGAAAAAAAAAATCTCTATCATGGTAAAAAGATTGAAGATTACTGCCTTAATCCACTGTTTGTCATGGTGGCAGACAGGAATTTTATATAGAAATGAGACAGGCTGGGGATACATTGTCTACAACATTGGCTGGAGAGTTACATTTTGTTTTCTAGAACTCTGGTTGATGCTTGAACAACACTTGTTCAAACTGCATGAATCCACTTATAGGTGGATTTTTTTTTCCCCAATAAATACTACAGCATTATGTCATCAGAGCTTGATTGAATAAGTGGGTATAAACAAAGACCATGAAGTTGTATGTGGATTTTTACCTGCATGGGTTCAGCAGCCCTCACCCCCATGTTGTTCAAGGGTCAGCTGTGTATCTGGCACATAGACTGAGAATTTTCCTTCAGTGTTATTATCCACAGGAGGGACCTGGTTAATTAGATTGTGAATTGCTTTTAGACCTTAACTTGTTACCTTGTAAATTCCAGTAATGGTTTGAATTTGAAAGCATCCTACCTACCCTTGAAAGCCATGGTTTTCCATAGGCAAACAAAGCCTCATTTGTTTTTCCAGTCATTAATAATGAAACATAGTCACTTGACTGAGGGCATGGGGATGTACAAATAATATGCTTTTTAAATTCTGTTCTTCCTGCGAAATAGAAATTGCCACACTGAACATTTGGAGGTACAGTTGACCCCTTGAATAGCACAGGTTTGAACTGCACAGGTCCACTTATATGCAGTTGTTTTTGTTTTTCTTTTTTCAGTACAGGATCTGTGGTTGTTGACTTCAAGAATGTGGAACTCTGAGAACAGAGGGCCAACTTGGATTTTTTATCATGTGGGGGTTGGCACCCCTTACACCAGGTTGTTCACGGGTAGGCTGTACTCAATAGAATTTTAGGTCTGGAGAAGGAAACTGAGATCCAAATGGTTACATCGCCTTAAATCACGTATCGAATAGTTTCTCATGAGCCTTTTGATTCCTTATGCACTGGTCTTCTTTGCACTGCCTGCCGGTCATACTGTTCCCTTCAGCTCTGAACACTTGAAGGAACTTGAGCAGCATAATTAAGTTCATTTCAGCTGCTTAATGGACACCTGATAGGTGAAAGAGCTCGTGCTAAGTACTGAGGAAACAAAAATTCTTGAAACTCCAGTCGTAGAAAACAGACATTTAAACAGATAATTATGCTAGTTACTACAACTGAGGTATTTTTCTTCTGTTAACCTTATATTCCAGCTTTCTACTAGCTCACGAATTCCTCAACTTGTAAAATAGTACTTTTATGAGGCAAAGCTAAAAAAAACTTTGGAAGCTTTATGTAAATGATGTTAAGCATAGCTAATGTAATATATCCACTAAAGGGTGGCTTGCATAGATAGCTATGATATGTGTGTGCGTGAACATATGTTAAGGCATTTTTTTCCCTTGCTGTGTCTACAGAGCAGTCGATGATCACGTTACTATGAGTCTGCTACACTGTGAAAACAGCTGCGGATCCAGCCAGTCCGAGAGCGACTGCTGCGCCGCCATGGCCGCCAGCTCCTGTGGGACAGCAGCAAAGGACGACAGTGTGAGTGGGACAGCCAGCACGGTGACTCTCTCCAGCTCCTTTATGGAAGAGATCCAGGGGTACGACGTGGAGTTCGACCCCCCCCTGGAGAGCAAGTACGAGTGCCCCATTTGCTTGATGGCTTTGCGGGAAGCGGTGCAGACACCTTGCGGCCACAGGTTCTGCAAAGCCTGCATCATCAAATCCATAAGGTACGTGAGCATAAAGAATGAACCAAATGCTGTAACAACCAAATGGAACATTATTACACAGAATAATCTTATACGGGAAAAGAGCAGTGGACAGAAAGCAGAGAAATTTACATTCTTATTCCAATTCTTACTGTAGCATGAAAGGTAATTACTGTCTCCTTCCCTTTTTGACACTTAGATAAATAAACAATAAGTAGCTCCTTCTACTTAAAGCAGTTGTGTTACAGACTGGAGTGTGTCTTGAAGCTTTAAGAAAATAATATAAAAAGTACCTTAAATTAATATGATCACCTTGACTGTACAAATAATGCTGACTCTTAAGTAATCATTATTCTCATTTTAGCCACATTACATTTTTGTCTGCTACCTGAAGCCTATGGACTACTGTAAAATAACCAATATTTTTAAGGTATTGATTCATGGAGCTTCCCTGGTAGCTCAGTGATAAAGAATCTGCATGCCAGTGCAGGGGTCTTCCCTGTGGCTTAGCTGGTAAAGAATCCACCTGCAATTCTTGAGACCTGGGTTCGATCCCTGGGTTGGGAAGATCCCCTGGAGAAGGGAAAGGTTATCCACTCCACTATTCTGACATGGAGAATTCCATGGACTGTATAGTCAATGGGGTCACAAAGAGTCGGACATGACTAAACGACTTTCACTTAAGGTATTGATCGACAGGGCTTCCCTGGTGGCTCAGTGATAAAGAATCTGCATGCCAATGCAGGAGATGCAGGAGACTTGAGTTTGATTCCTAAAATGAGAAGATCTCCTGGAGAAAGAAATGGCAGCCCAGTACGATATTCTGGCTTGGGAAATCCCATGGACAGAGGAGGCTGACAGGCTACAGTCCATGGGGTTTGCAAAGAGTTGGACGTGACTTTGCAACTAAACAACATTGATGGATGACTCTGCCAAAATTCAGTATCTTCTCACTGCCTCCACTGCTGCCACCCTGTTCTGAATCCCCATCAGCTCTCTCACAGGCTGCCCTCCTTCCACCCTTGCTTGCTTCCAGGCTGTTCTCAATATAGCAGCCAGAATGAACCTGGTAAGATAAGTAAGATGATGTTGTCTCTGCTCCAAACATTGCATCTGGCAGTACAAGCCAAAGCCCTTGTAAGACCATATACAATGGGCGCATGCATTTTCTTTGTCATTGTTCAGTCACTGTCATGTCTGACCACCTTTCTGCTAGACTCGCGCACCCTCCACCTGTTCACTCTTTGCTGCTCCTTGAACTTGCCAGGCACGCCCTTGCCTTGTGTGGTTGGCTGGCGCTGTTCTCCCTGCATCTGATGTCAGCCAACTGCTTAGTCACTGCGCTTTACTCCCGCAGCGCGGCTCAGACCTCACCTTCCTGCAGATACCCTGGCCTCCCGGTTTATACCGCAGCGTGCCTTCCCCCTCATCGCCCCATGCTCCCTTTCTCCCCTAGGTACTTTTTTTCTTCAGCACTTTTAATCTTTAAAAATACAGATAATTTGTGCGCTTATTGTCTGCTTGCCCCCTCACCCCACCCTGCTGGAAGATAATCCTTGAGAGCAGGGATTGAGAACTTCTTGATATTTCCTAAGTGCTGAAACATAGTACGTGCTCAGTAAATTATGATTGCTTCAACTGAATGAAAGTATATGGGATTTCTGCAAAGGAATAAAATTCATCTCCTAAGAAATAGATATATTTTACTATTACTCAAAAGTAGATGGGAACATTTTTAGGAGTTCTATACAGAACCAAAAAATCGAAGAAGTAGGGGAATTTTTGGTTCTTCAACTAATAAGCATCTACTTATATTGGTGAAATCATTTTTAAGTAGATTATCTGGCCATTAACTCATCTTGTAAGTTTTCCTTTTGACTTTTAAATAATTTTTTTTTTTTCTTGTGGCATCCCCAATACCTGGTTTGGCATCAGGGTAATGCTAGCCTCATCAAAGGAGTTTGGAAATGTTCTTTTCTCTTCTGTTTTTTTTTTTTTTTAGAAGAATTTGAAAAGGATTGGTATTCTCCTTTAAATGTTTGATGGCATTCACTAGTAAAACCATCTGCTTCTAGACTTTTGTTTGTTGGAAGGTTTTTGATTACTGATTCACTCTCCTTACTGGTAATCTAGTCTGTTCAGATTTTCTGTTTCTTTATGATTCAGTCTTGGAGGTTGTATGTTTCTTGGAATTTATCCATTTCTTTTAGGTTGTCAAATTTGTCGCCATATACTTTTTCACATAAGTCTCTCTATGTCTGTGGTATCAGTTGTAATTGTCTCCTCTTTCATTCTGATTTTATTTACTTGAATCTTTTTTTTTTCTCTTGTGAGTCTAGCTAGACTTGTCTATAAAATTTGAATTTGTGGTAACTACATCCATACATGGGAATTGGCTTAATTTAAATTACAAGGGAGCATGTGTCTCACTTCAGTTTTGGAGAAAAAGTTGTTAACCAGTGGTGAATTGCCAGTATCTCTTTAGGGTTGGTTTTCTCACCCTCCACACTATCAGCAGTTTGAGCCAGATGGTTCTTTGTTGTGGAAGAATGTCCTGGGTGTTGTAGGATGCTTCACTGCACCCTTGCCCTCTGCTCACTGAGTGGTGAGAATAGGCCCACTTCTATAGTTGTGAGACCTGGAGCATCTCCAGATGTTGCCAGATGGCCCTGGGGCTCAGAGTTGCCTCAGCTGAGACCACTGGTTTAGGGCATACATGAGACTATTAAAGGCTTACCTTTTTTCTTTTCTCTTTATAATGGTTTTTAATTTATATTATATTTAGGTTGAAACAAGACCACATTATGAATTGTTGCTTTTTCTATAGGTGAAAGTGTATAGTATTTTACCAAGTGTCACCCATGCCCAGGAAGGTAACTGATCTTTAGCGGTTTTTTAATAGGAAGATATTCATGAAAGTAGTGGAACAGTAATCTGAAAAGGAAGTAAAACCCACAGAAGGAAGTCGAGACTTTTTTCTTTTTTTCTATCTCCTTCTAAACTAGAAATGACCACTAACTTTGACTTTAATGTTCTTAAAGGAACGACTCGGGAATTTCTCATCGGTATAATCATTCAGAGAATCAAAAGACATCTCAATCCAATTCCATATTCTTTTGGAGTGATTGCTTATGCAGTGGATAATGGTTTCCAGTTCACTTTGAAAGGTTCTTCTTACTTTCTCTTAAACACCCAATCATCTAGGTTTGGGGAATATATTTCAGTAAATTTGTTTATGTCCCTGCTTCTCAAAAAAATATTTGACCGTGTAATAATAACATCATGCAACTGAGAGAGGCCCTGTAAACACTGACTGTGTCACTCGCCATTTCTAGTCCTGAGACATTTGGCAGCATAGCTTATTTTCAGCACCTTTGTCTGCCACAGGAACCACCACCGTTGCCTTACATGTAGGAAGTGCACAGCCAGTGTCTGAGTGATGGACGCTGTGTAGCCTCCCTGACCTGCCACATTTTGTGAGTGAAGATTGAAGCATCCCAAAAAGGGAAAGGGGCATGACAGACACCCAAGCTTCTCGGGGATAGTTTTTCCCGTCATTGGACGGAATAAACCTTGGGGAAGCAGGACATAGAGGTCCTTCTAACTCCCAACTGCACTGTACCCATGACACAAAGATAAAAGAAACCGGTGTTGTCCATGAGCCAGTGTGGATGACTTTTCAGAGCAAACCTTAAAAACGCGGCCTCACGAGGTTACTGCTAATGGGTTTAATTTCTACTTATGACTAATAACTGTAGACATGTTATTAGTGTATTCTGAGCAGCATATATTTAGTTACATCTCCCTAGTATGTTAAATAGCTGCTGTCAGAACACAAGAAGACTGGTTCATAAACTGTCCATAAAAGGACAGTTTATTTTGGTGATATTATACAATATAATGCGTTTAAGTAATAAATGAAGAGTTTATATGTCGTGTATTATTGTTTTGGATTTTCTAAGGTGAATGTTTTAAATCTACTAAATAATGTATTTGTTTCTTTTAGGGATGCAGGTCACAAATGTCCAGTTGACAATGAAATACTGCTGGAAAATCAACTGTTTCCTGACAATTTTGCAAAACGAGAGATTCTTTCTCTGATGGTGAAATGTCCAAATGAAGGTTGTTTGCACAAGATGGAACTGAGGCATCTTGAGGTATTAAAGTTATATTCTAGCCATGTGCGTTTATGCAAGAAGTTCCTGGAGAATGGGGACTTTGCTTTGTCCATCTGGATATTGCCACTGCTTAGCATATAGTGATTGGCTAGTAAATTCTTGCTGAATTAATACCAACCCTTTCATTATTGAGTATAAATATAAGTAGAAGCCAGAAATTTCTTTTTCCACCTACTCTGGCTTTACACCCTGTGATAATAAAAAATAAATCAGTGTTCTTCTAAAAGTTTTTTGGGTGAACTTTATCTGCAATGAAACTGAAGAGCATTTTAAATATGTCACATTTTAATCCCATTGCTTCATTTCTCTCATTTTGAAATAAGCAACAAGCCCCACGTAGTCATCATCTTAGCACCCTCATCATACTTTTTTCTCTGGTTTTCTAAATTATTCATTTTATTTTGAATTAAATGGAGTTCTCCTATAGCTTGAGATGAACTGAAGCCACCAGATAAAAGATTTTGTTTTTAAGTTAATCAGTCCTTAATGTGGTGGTTTTTATGAGAAGTTAAATATTGCTTAAGTTCCATTTGAAATATTCATGTAACTTGCCCCCTTTACTTAGCTCCTTTTGAAGGAGTGGCCTTTTGAACACATCACTAAATTGATAATGAGAAAATCTGCTTCTTTCCAACCCTCTTCCCTAATTAGATAAATGAACCTGAAAAGTCAAGTCCTTTGTGTATACTTTCAACTCACAACCATTATTTGAAAAAAATCCATTAAAGCCTCATATTGTGGTTCTGTGGTGTGTACTACACAAAGTAGGTTCAGTAGCCAGTTCTATAGAAGAGAATAGTGTATTCTTAGAATAGATGATATTTAGGAGGTTTCTCAAGGATTGGCAAATACTGCTTATTTATTTTTCTTCATAGGATCATCAGGCACACTGTGAGTTTGCTCTTATGAGTTGTCCCCAATGCCAGCGTCCCTTCCAGAAATGCCACCTTAATATTCATATTCTCAAGGAGTGTCCCAGGAGACAGGTTCCTTGTGAAAACTGTGCTGTATTGATGGCATTTGAAGATAAAGAGGTATGTACTAAGTTGGATTTATTGATTCAACTGTTGTTTTATTTTTTTAACGTGCAGTGGAAGGAGTTAGCAGAGATGAAGATGTTAATCTAGTCCTGAATCTCTGTTATCATTTGTGAGAAGACTGATTTTTAAGAAAGTAAGTTAAATAAACCATTTTAGTAAATGAATGTAGGGTTTGTATTTTCGTCTCTTTCTTAGAAAGCATTATTTCTGCTACTTAACCACTGGGGAAGATTTACAAGTAACAAAATCTAGGAAAGTATGTGCTGATCTGTTTCCCTGTGTGAATTTTAATAACCAGTTTTGGATTAGAGACAAATAAAATAATTACTGTATAAGACTTAATTTTTCTCTTTTAAAAAGAAAATGAGTCGTTGAAACTTCGAGGAGGTTAAATCCCACAAAGTAGGCTGCTTTGGTGATGATTCATTGAGCTGTACACATACAGTGAATTCACTTTTCTGTACTCCTGTTACACTTCAATTAAAATGTTTATTTTTTAAAGGAAACTCCATGACACCTGACAGCATCATGATGATAGAACATTTTTTCCATTTATAGACAGATTAAGTGATTTTATATTAATATTATTAATGGGAAGGCCAGCACAGAGATCCTAGATCTTGTATCCCCATCCTATGTCCTTTTTACTAAAATAATCTATGTACAATTTATGTTCTTTTTATTATCAAGATACTTCCTCAGACTTTATTTCTTGCAGATTCATCTTGGTAATGTCCCTACTTATGAGATCAAGCATATGCTTATTAAGTTGTTTAATTATTCAAACAGTGTCAGCTAACTTGCTAAAAACAGTGAAGTCTGAGGCATAATTACAGCAAATTGGTGTCTTCTTAAACTTCAGTAAAAATAGGCCTAACCAGGAGGGTTAGTTATTTCTTAAATTTACTGTATTCTAGAAAAGAAGACTCATTTTTCTGGGGGCTTTGAGAACCTAGGCCACCTGCCCCAATCATGCTTCTGTTCTTTACCCTCCTGATAAGAGTTGTAATTAAATCATCTTGCTGCTGCTGGAAAGTTTTGAAAAGAGGTCTTTGGAGAATTATAGTATTGATGAATGATGTCCAAACAGTCACAGATGCTGTATGACTTTTAATCAGGTTTTTAAAAAGTGATTTAAAAGATTCTCTTTTGCATACTATCATATTCTTTCAAAGAGCTAGAGGGTGAGATGAATCTCATTTCTTCACTGGTGAAGGGAGAGAAAATAACCATTATAGATTATTCTCATGTTTTTATTTTATGCACACCAGTGTCCCTAATTTATTCATAGTGAAAAATACTGCTTTTTATAAAAGTAGGTTGTTTTTACCTTTTCAAATTTTCTCACGTTTTTTCCTTATATTTCTCCAATAAAATTTAGATTCATGAGCAGAACTGTCCTTTGGCAAATGTCATCTGTGAATACTGCAATACCATGCTCATCAGAGAACAGGTATAGTGATTCTCTTTCATAAGCCAGTATTTCCATAAATAAATTAAAGAAATGAATTAGGTCTTTAATTGAAATTTTAAATCAGTAAGGCAAAAATGAATGCAGACTGAAGAAAGAATTAAAACGATGTGAGTTTTAAATGCAAATCAAAGTCACAATCAGTTGTCCCCTCACATCAGTCAGAATGGCTGTCATTTAAAAGTCTACAAATAATAAATTCTAAAGAGGGTGTGGGGAAAAAGGAACCCTCCTACACTGTTGGTGAGAATGTAAATTGGTGCAGCCACTGTGGAAAACACTGTGGAGGTTCCTTAAAAAAGTAAAAATAGAACTACCATATGATCTAGTAATCCTACTCACGGGCATATATCTGTCTTAATTTGAAAAGGTACATGGGGAATTCCTGGCAGCCCAGTGGTTAGGACTCCACACATTCACTGCCAAGGGTCTGGATTCAATTCTTGGTTGGGGGAACTAAGATCCGGCAAGCCACACAGTGTAGCACAAAAAAAAAGAAAGAAAAGGTTCATGCACCCCAGTGTTCATAGCTACATGATTTACAATAGGCAAGACTTAGAAACAAGCTAAATGCCCATCAACAGATGATGGGTTTAACAAGATATGGTATATGTATATAGACATTAGACTGTCACTCAGTCCATGGGGTCGCAGAGAGTCAGACACGACTGAGCAACTGAACCCTGACAACAGCAGCCGTAGCAGAGAATGGGGGTACTGCCGTTTGCAGCAGCATGGATGTGCCTAGGGAATATCATACTAAGTGAGGTGAGTCAGACAGAAAAGCAGATGTTACATGTTACCACTTACACAAGGAATCCAGGAAATATTGCCAGTGACTCTGAGTACAAAAAAATAGACCCAGAGGTAAAAAAACAAACTTAGAATTACGGAAGAAGAAAAAAAAGTGGGGAAAGATAAATTAGGTGTATTGAATTAACAGATACAAACTACTATACATAAAATAGATAAGCAACAAGGATATACATAGCACAGTGGGGAGCTATATTCAGTATCTTGTAGCAACCTATAATGGAAAGTAATCCGAAAAATATATATATATATGTAACCGAATCACTTTGCTGTATACTTGAGACTAATACAATATTGTAAATCTATCTATATTTCAATTTTTTAGAAAACTGAGTTTTTTCCCCAGATATATGGATATAATACTTTCAGAAAGAACAAAGTACTCAGTCATAAGTACTTAAAATTCCTAAATCATTAACATAATATCTGTGTTTATGTATATTCATAAAAGTTCCAAACAAAGCCAAGTAATTTTTAGATAAAAATAAGTTAAAATGCCCATTTAAAGAACAAAAATATTTATAAGAAATACATCTTTAGATTGTGAAATAAGGATCTTAGGTATCCAGAAACCACTTGAAAAAGAAGAAATAGAAGGAAACAAGTCTGTAGCAGAACATTATTGATCGCCATGGCCCTTGAGGCGTGTTGGGAGATTTCCAGGATCTGTAGCCCCTCTGTTCGGTTGTCTGTAGACCCCTGATGAGGCATCATCAGAAGTAGTTGTAATAGAAAACTATTCATTTTTATTATTAATAGAGAAAGGAAAATTCCATCTGGTTGCTATCTTCTGACATTTGGAGAGTTTCCCCACAAAATATGAATATTAGTCACTAAATATTTATACACCCATGAAATCTGCAAACCCAGAGATAGAGATCATAATTGATTACCTTACTAAGTAGGAAAAGCAAAACCTGTCCCTCGACTAAATTTTTCCATTCATCTGTTAACAGAGTCTTTTTAGTTTTTTTCCAACAGGGCCTTAATTTGAAGGTGTTAAACTTCTTTTTGCTTATGAACTCTCACCTACCTGGTTTTTCTTTTTTGCCTTGCTTTGATGTTTAAAGGAAAGCATATCTAAAACCTAGCAGAAGTAAAACTTAATATAGGAAAAAACCCTAGGTTTAGAGTCAGAAAAACCTAGATTTTGACCCTGACTGTGCCATTGTCTTCGACGTTTATCTCTGATAAAGAAAGTTGACGTTCTAAATTAGGGATTAGTAAACCAGCCCACCAGCTAAATCTGACTGCTACCTGCTTTTTAAAATAAGTTTCATTGGAACACAGTCCTGTCCATCCTTTTATGTCTTGTATATGGCTGGTTTTGTACTGCAGTGATAGAGTTGAGTACTTGTGAGAGTCCATGGGGCTTCCTAGATGAAGCTAGTGGTAAAGAACCTGCCTCCCAATACAGGAGGCATACGAGACCTGGGTTCGATCCCTCGGTTGGAAAGATTCCCTGGAGGAGGACATGGAAACCCACTCCAGTATTCTTACCTGGAGAATTGCATGGACAGAGGAGCCTGGTGGGCTGCGATCCATAGGATCTCACAGAGTCGGACACGACTGAAGCGACTTAGCACACACGCACACGACAGGCTCCATAGGGCTTATGAGGCTGAAAATATTTACTCCCCGACCCTTCAGAAACGATTTTACTGACCACTGTTACAGATTACGTGAAAAGAAGGGTTGGAATAAATGACCTTTGATGTTATTTCTGAAGGGTCATATAGATTGCCATTTCCTCCTCCAGTTCAAGTTGCCTAGTCATCATTATTTTCATTGGAGACTTAGTTACATATTTGGTCATTGCACGAAACAATAATCTTGTAAAATAGAAAAATACAAATAACACAGCGGTATTACTAAAATCATAAGTGAGAATTAAGCCAAAAACTTCCATTAGGTGCAACTCAGTATATTCTTAGGTCATCTGAGATTATAGCTAAACTAAATTTTTAGAGCAAATTTAGTACCACTTTCAAAAAACATAATAAGGAATAAGGTATAAGGAATCTACCTTAAAGAATGTTTTTTGGAGTCCCCAAATTAAAAGCTGAGACTTTCTTTAAAACTTAGTGCTTAAAGTGTCTTCTAACATCTGAGTCTCCCCATTGTAGTCAGAGTACGCGCAGGTTAACAGAAGAAAAGAAGCTATGAAAGGTGGTCATGAGGGAAGTACAGGGTGCAGTCAGTGGTTCTGATGTACACAGTTTACTGGTCCCTCATCACGGGCCTGAGAGTTGAACCATCAAGAATGCTGAGCACCAAAGAATTGATGCTTTTGAACTCTGGTGTTGGAGAAGACTCTTGAGAGTCCCTTGGCCTGCAAGGAGATCAAGCCAGTCAGTCCTAAAGGAAATCAGTCCTGAATATTCATTGGAAGGACTGATGCTGAAGCTCCAGTACTTTGGCCACCTGATGCAAACATTAGAAAAGACCCTAATGCTGGGAAAGATTGAAGGCAGGAGGAGAAGGGGATGACAGAGGATGGGATGGTTGGATGGCATCACTGACTCAATGGACATGAGTTTGAGCAAACTCTGGGAAATAATGAAGGACAGGGAAGCCTGGTGTGCTGCAGTCCATGGAGTCGCAAAGAGTCAGACACGAGTGAGTGACTGAACTGAACTGAACTGAATCAGTGGCATGGTCCGCAGGGAGAGTCCTAGTTGCGTTGTGGATGACATCAGAAGGTGCATTTTCTTTAAAGTGCCGCTAGAGGGTGCCAGTTCCCCAGCAATAGGAATAAACTAATGTTCTCGAAATGAATTTTGAGTGATTTGGGGGCACAGTATGAGATGTTGATATTTCCTTTCTCTGTGACTTTTGGAAGTAAGTATCATTTTAATCTTTGTGGGCTAACTGGTTTCTGTTTCAACTGTTGAGTGCAGCCATTGTAACAAAAGCAGCCATTGGCAATATAATTTTATTTAGATGAAGCATTATTTTTTTTGAGATGATCTTGTCAAACTAGAATATGAAATTCAGGGAAAAACATTTTTCAGCCTTTGTTTTGGTTTTCAGATGCCCAATCACTATGATCTAGATTGTCCTACAGCCCCAGTTCCATGCACATTCAGTGCTTTTGGTTGCCATGAAAAGGTAAGTTGTTGTTGTTGTTGTTTTAAATTCTCAAATATAGATCAAGAAAATTAAGCTATATAGTGTGGTAGAGGATAACAGTGGAATTGGAGATGGCCGACAACGTTGTTGATGTGGTCTTTAGCTCCAAAGAGAAATTGGGACTCAGAATATTGACTTGGAGAAGTAGTTGGTGATGACAGTGGGAGGTGTGATTGGGATTGCATGGAGTGTACTGGAAAGAGAAGTAGACCCGGAAAGGAGCCATGAATGAACAGTCCCAGACGCTGGAGAAACAGGCAAGGAGTAGGTGGTGTTATGATCTCCGACATGAGTTTCAAGACCTAGCAATCAGTTTTGTCAGATACCTGAGAGACAGCATTGTTTATGGTAAGGCAGTTTGTCTGGAGAGAGTGAGTACACTTAGGCTTTTCTGCTGTGCCTTTATATCTGCAATTTTTTTTTACAGTAAGTATGCATTTAATAATTTAAAAAAATTAAATGAGCAAATAGTGAAGAGTATGATTACACTTGGTGGGGAAATCCTATATTGCTTGTGTGCATAGAGAGAAAGACTTAGAAGGAAATGTAGCAAAATGTTCATGGTAGGTGAGATAACAGGTAGCTTATTTTCTTTTTGATTATCTACACTTTGTTTCTATAATGTACCTGAATTACCCTCACAATAAAATTGTTATGTTTTTTTCACATAACAATTAGGCTATTCTTGATGACCTTAGAAAAGTAGGAAGACAGGGAAGCTTCTACTTGGCAGTAGATTTGTAAAAATAAGTGCAGGGTTGGAGGCAGTCCAGTTGGATGACTCTTGGTTATAAAAGGAAGAGGAAGAATATGGTATTAACTTGAGGGAGATACAAGATCAATAGAGGGTATTGCTCTCCTCCCCACCCCAGTTTTTTTAAACAGGAAGACTAATAAATCTGTTCTGAGGGGAAGAGTTAAGAGGAGAGAATGTTCGAAGATAAAGGAGAAAGGAGATGGCTAAGCATAACCTCCTGAGGAGGTGAAAAGGGATGGATGCCACTTGGAGCCCAGGTGAAGTATTAATCTAGGACAAGAGGAGGGTCAGCTCTGAGTCCAAAGAGAAGGACGGGCATAGATCCTGATACTTTTACAGGTGGGAGGGAGGTTTTTCTGAGTGAAACTTGAACAAGTATTCAGCAGATAGCCTCTCAGTTTTTCAGGGAATGAAGAGGAAAGATCATTTCTCCGGATGGAGAATCTGATACAGTCAAAGAAGGTTGTACAGGACTGAGGAAAGTGATGATGTGACTTCAGAACCTTTTATTTGACTTGGCCAGGTCCCTTTCCTGGTCCTCCAATCTCTATTCCTCACCTGAGGCCTGTGCTTGATTTTCAGATGCAGAGGAATCACTTGGCACGCCACCTGCAGGAGAATACCCAGTCGCATATGAGAATGATGGCCCAGGCTGTTCAGACTCTAAGCCTCGCGGTAGCTCCCGCGCCTCAGTGCACCGTGCCTCCGTACGACTCTGTCCCTCCCGCCCGGCCTTCCTCTGGGCGTCACTCAGAAGTCCACAATTTCCAAGAAACCATTCAACAGTTAGAGGGTCGCCTCGTCAGACAAGACCATCAAATCCGGGAACTGACTGCGAAAATGGAAACCCAGAGCATGTATGTAAGTGAGCTCAAGCGAACTATTCGAACCCTTGAGGACAAAGTTGCTGAAATAGAAGCACAGCAGTGCAATGGGATTTACATCTGGAAGATTGGCAACTTTGGGATGCACTTGAAATCGCAAGAAGAGGAGAAACCTGTTGTCATTCACAGCCCCGGATTCTACACAGGCAAACCCGGCTACAAACTGTGCATGCGCCTGCACCTGCAGCTGCCGAGCGCGCAGCGCTGTGCCAACTACATCTCCCTCTTTGTCCACACGATGCAGGGGGAGTACGACAGCCACCTGCCTTGGCCCTTCCAGGGAACCATTCGCCTCACGATCCTCGATCAGTCTGAAGCAGCTGTGCGGCAGAACCACGAGGAAATAATGGACGCCAAGCCAGAGCTCCTCGCCTTTCAGAGACCCACCATCCCCCGGAACCCCAAGGGTTTTGGCTACGTGACTTTTATGCATCTGGAAGCCCTCAGACAAAGAACCTTCGTCAAGGATGACACGTTATTAGTACGCTGCGAGGTCTCCACCCGCTTCGACATGGGCAGTCTTCGGAGGGAGGGTTTCCAGCCGCGGAGTACTGACTCGGGGATATAGCATCCCCTGACTTGTTCAAGAAACAACAGGAAAACATCTGCCGCAAACTCACCCTGTTCTCAATAAAGTGTACAAACAAACAGAAACAATGGGGAAGATACAATACTCACCAGTGAATTTTATTTGACTTCCTGTAGATTTCAGAGGATTTGAGCCATAATCCTTGGAAAGCTTAAGTTCTCATTCACCCTGGTTTTTCCTCCAGGGTGTTCTTAAGGATATTCAGGGACTAGTTATAAACCCTAAATATAACCTTACTTATTAAATGTGACTGTGTTGTCTGTCCAATAATTCTCCTTTAAGTCGTTTCATCCTACCTTGCTTACTATTTCCTTTAGGCTGCAGAGTACCATTTCTCCAGAGTTAGAACTCTGAGAACCATGTGAAGACCAGCTGCTAGGTTTTAGGCTATAAATCCCTTTTTGTCTATTGCAGGCAGAGTGAATTCCGCAGCCCCTCCGATGGTGCTTTGTTACCTAGTACTCTAGAACAAGGAGTCGCACACACATAATCACCACCGTGGAAAGTTTAAACGTCTCACCTAGTCAGCCAGTATGGTAGCTCACTGGTGGTGAGAAAAGCTATTTGAGCTCAGAAATTTTCAACTCTTATTGAACACTGCTGTTCTGTGATTGTTGTCCAAGAATAAGTACCTATCAAGGTACAAGTAAAAAAATAGTTGTTCTTGTTGCATAGGTAAAAGAAAGCCTGAAGGAAAGCTACTATTTTTGATGACTTATTTTCTTTTTTGTGCAGCATTACCTGTTCTACATTTTTTTCTACAATAAACATGTCCTTTTTCTCACAGAAAAAAAAGTTACATGTTGCCACAAAACATTCAACCCTAACAAAAAAGGAAATAATATTTAAAAGCTTCCTGGTCAAATTTCTATTAAAAGCATGTCTGTGCATTAGGTACTGAGGTGAGTCATTTCCTGCTTTGGTTATGTTATTTTTTTTCTACTAACTTGGGAGCCTTAAATCCAAACAAAAACAGGTTTTACCTCACTTCGGCTTATCCTAGCTTCAGGTTCCCTGAAGGAGTTGGATTAGATGTTTCTAAGGTCCATGCCAACCATAAAATTCTGTTTTAAGAAATGAAGTTCTAACCAGCAGAATGTTGACAATAATTACAAAAGGATTTTGGCAGTAGAAAAATGTTTATTTTTTGCTGACGTAGTACTTCAATTTAGTATCAATTTAGGATCTTCTTTTAATTTGAACAATTTTTTTTAACTCCCAACATTTGGCATTTTGTAATAAACCTGCCACTTATATACTGGTCGTTCCTTGTGAACATGGAATAAGAGTAATGATCAGACTGTCTTTCCATATAGGAGCTTTTGTTGACTCCAACGCAGAATCAAATTTTAGCTGGAAAGTGGATCTCTTCCTTTCATTTTTCAATCCTCCAGTCCCACTCTGAAACTTGCTGGTTTGGACCCAGCTGATCTACAAGTATCTGTTTTATTGAACTTTTAACATTAATTTTTGGATGTTGTTAAATTAAAAATAATTTCTTCTTTTCTCAGAGATATCCAGTCCTGTGTTCAATGAAACTTGCTGCAGGTGGTGCCCTTTGTTATTGGAAAATAAGTCAGCATGCTGATTGGTAGTTGGGTGGTTTCGGTTTTTTTTTAACTGTCCTTTAGCTGTTGCAGCAATGACAGTTTGTGGCTATTCTACGGAATGACTGGGGGGACTAAATGCATGTGTGCACAGCCTCTCAGCTGTGGCCAACTCTGTGACCCCATGGAGGGTAGTCCACCAGACTCCTCTGTCCATGGGGTTTCCCAGGCAAGAATACTGGAGTGGGTTGCCATTTCCTTCTGCAAGGGATCTTCCTGACTCAGACTGAACCCAAGTCTTTTGTGTCTACTGCATTGCAGGTGGATTCTATACCACTGTGCTACCTGGAAAGCCCTGAAATAGGATGAAAATTGAGGATTTTTTTCCCCCCTAATGATGGCCTAACGAGGCTTTGGATGATCTCTGACAGTTTTTGTGGCAGGTATAGAATTATAAAATTGTCCTTCATTACTGTTTTTATACCGTAAGTCTTGGGTAAACCAAGAGCACGTGTGCAGATAGAGAACATCCTCATCAGAGGGGAGCAGTTGCTGTCTTCCCTTTGCCCAGGGAATCCTCAAGTCTTTGGTGACCAGAAAATGTTTTAAATTATTATATTTTTCTAACTTTTAAGATTTTGAAGTATCTTTCCGTAACTGCTATTCTTGTTTTGCTTCAATCAAGTTCTCTGTTTTTTCGTGAAACACCATTAGGTGTTTTTGTGATGCCCAGTTCCATAGTACCCAAGCAGTGCAATGCCTTGAGGAAATGAAACAAGTTTTGAAGCTTTTTCCTCCTCTCCCCCCAATTCCAGTTGTTAAAAATTTTATAAAATGCAGAAAAGTAATCCTGGATGGGGAACACACTATGACGTGAGGAGACGTGCTCCTTTCAAGGGGCGTCGTGCTCCTTTCACGCTGGCTCTGCCTGGGGGACGGGTGTCGGGAGAGGCACAGTCCGCTCCTCTCGGGCTGAAGGCTCTGAAGGTCCGTGCATTTCGCTCCATCTCCCGGGAACCCTGCAAAGCACAGTCGCTGTGCTGTCTCTCAAAGGGAGATCTCCTCTTCCTGGAGCTCCCTTGTCTCCGCTGACTGATTGCACCTCCCCAGCTGTCTCCTAGATTGCAGGATGAAAGCTATATTGTTGGTGATGAGCAGGCAAGGTTCTGTCCACGGCAGAAACCCCAGACTTGACACGCTGCCTGGCACACGGCACGCACTCAGGATCATGAACGCCAAAGTGCAGCATTTTAGAGCAGGTTGTTTCTCATGTAAGTTTTTGCTGGTAAGGACTATATATTGGGGGGTGGTCTGGTTGTTTACTTTTTCCCCCAGCACTTTATTATGAAATTTCTCAAATATGCAGAATTACTGAAAAAATTTCACAATGATCACTACCTAGAATTCACAAATAGCATTTTGTTACATTTGCCTTATCACTTAAGAGTGCTATTTTTAATGAGACTTGTTCAAGTTTCATTTCTCTTAAAATTGCACTGCTAAGATAATTGAACAGCTTTAAGCGAGTTATTTTAAACCCTGGGGAAATGTGATATTTGCATTATAGCTGGAATTGTAGTCCTTACTTTACACTAGTTTTAAACATGTAAATCTGTCCTGTTGAATTTCAGACTTGATTATTTTGCCTGAAGGAATTTTTTTTTATAATAGAATTATTTTAAAGTCCTTGATCAATTGAACAGAATATTCTAATGTTGTTTTCACACTTGATAAATTATCTAATTAATTTTTCTGGTGAGAGTGTACGTGGGGCTCATTTTGCTTAAACAAAGTTTCAGGATAGTGTTCCCAGAGGGCTTGAAGAGGCAGGGTAATTTAGCATATAAACCACTAAATTAGGAGCTAAGAGATTTAGATTTTATTCCTGACTGACCATGGACAAATCACCTCTCTTTATCTTTGTGTCCATTAATCTACTTGTAGAGTGGGGACTATAATTTGATATTTAGGTTTTAATAAGTAATGGGTAACATTTATTAATGCTTGGACCAGTTAAGAAAGACTTTTAAAAAACAAACAAACAAAAAATACACGATGCATCCAAGGAGGTTCTCATAATTATCTAACTGTATGACAAGCTTCAGAATGAACTCTGATTTGAAAAAATGAAGCATGGGCCTTGGTCAAAGTATCTTATCAAAAACCTGCTGTTGCTTAGAACTTGCTGTTGCCACAGAATTTGTGAGTGGTTTCCCCGCTCCATCTGGACTCTGAAAATTATAATGTATTTTGTGAGAGAGTGAATGGGAGGCCATTTCCTCCTCTAGAAAATCTTCCCAACCCAGGGATTGAATCCTCGTCTCCTGTGTCTCCTACATTGCTGTCGGATTCTTTACCACTGATCCGATATCAGGGAAGCCCTAAAGATGGGAGGAGGTGGACATTAATCACAGCAAGATTGAAAATCAATGTCGAGTTAAAGAACAGGTTGTATGGAAGGGTGGGGCTTGAAGGAGTCATCCTGATTCAGTGCCACACACCTTCCACTGTTCCCCGATCGACCCACACAGCGCAGGGCACCAGCCCTGCTCCTGCCAGCCCAACCTCAGGAGGTCTCTGTCAGGTCAATACAATTGAATTACAGGATCGACCAGGGGCTAACCAGGGTCTCTCTGCTCCATTTAGTAGATGAGTGTGCCCTGTTCTTTCTATTAATAGCCCAGGTAATGAATGTAGATTCACATTTATCTTGCAAAGTCACTTGGAGTTTTTGCCTTAGATTGCATCTTAGTGATTGCAAAGATCTGACCAAAAGAGTGCTCCTTCATTGGCATCCTCAGTCAGTCAGTTCAGTCACTCAGTTGTGTCCTACTCTTTGCGACCCCATGAACCACAGCACGCCAGGGCTCCCTGTCCATCACCAACTCCTGGAGTCCACCCAAACCCATGTCCATTGAGTCAGTGATGCCATCCAACCATCTCATCCTCTGTCGTCCCCTTCTCCTCCTGCCTTCAATCTTTCCCAGCATCAGGGTCTTTTCAAATGAGTCAGCTCTTCACACCAGGTGGCCAAAGTATTGGAGATTCAGCTTCAACATCAGTCCTTCCAATGAACACCCAGGACTGATATCCTTTAGGATGGACTGGTTGGATCTCCTTGCAGTCCAAGGTATTCTCAAGAGTCTTCTCCAATACCACAGTTCAAAAGCATCAATTCTTTGGTGCTCAGCTTTCTCTATAGTCCAACTCTCACATCCATACATGACCACTGGAGAAAACCATAGCCTTGACCAGATGGACCTTTGTTGGCAAAGTAATGTCTCTACTTTTTAATATGCTGTCTAGGTTGGTCATAACTTTTTTTCCAAAGAGTAAGTGCCATTTAATTTAATGGCTTCAATCACCATCTGCAGTGATTTTGGAGCCCCCAAAAATAAAGTCTGCCAGTTTACACTGTTTATCCATCTATTT